ACAAGGAATAAGCTGATGACTTTAGCTCAGCTCCTAGAAGTCAAACACCCACATCATAAAAACACCCAGTCTCCCTGGCACTGACAGACACTTCATGTGGTTGCATGAGCAGAAAGGCTACACATTCACTGAATATACAGAAGGAGTGACAACCTCACCCTCGGAGGGGGTCTTTCCCGCTCAGGACTGGAGCATAGTGGCAGGGAGCAGAGCTTTGGAAGTGTGTGTGTGTGTGTGTGTCTGTTCTATGGACAGGCAGAGATGTTCATTCACTAGTGCTTTCAATTCAGCATATTTTCCCAATGACACATTTACTGTGGTGTCATCTACTGGATCAAATTCCACTCTGGGATAGAAGGACGGATGTCCATAGATTTCAGGGGGTTGCCGGAATGTGACCGAGAGCAGAATTCTGTGCCGTTTACCTAGCATGTCAGGCACGTGGTGTTACAATTTTCTGCCTGTGTAGTTCACGTGTGCCACTCAATTATTCTGACAGTACCTCTGCCGGAGGCAGTGCCTCTCCTGGGATTTGACACCTCCCCCGCAGGTTCTCGTGCATGCTGTCCATTTGGTCCACTCCCCCCACCAGTATGCCGTGACATCTGCTCCTTCTTCGAGGCTGTTTGACGTCTGCACGTTATCCTATTCACCATGCAGGGCATTCACGTCCAGGAGAGAAGAGGCGTTAAACATTTACACTGCTGAGTTAGCATGACTAGGAGTTCTGCACTCCAGGCCCACAAACAGCAGACTGGATCCACTGAAGCAAAGTCCAAGCAAGAGGGCTTTGAGTAGGGGTAGGGCAGGGATATTAGGGGAATGGGACCACCTTCCAACTGCTGAGCAGGGCATGTGCTGAACAGTCTATGCATAGCACTTCCCTATCTTAGGGTTTTTCTATAGCACCCATCACCATAGTATCCAAGCATAATGATAGCAGTAATTGCAGCCTACCGTGCCACTCTGCCATGGGGCGGATCCATGCAGCTCACGGACCATGTTCTCCCAACCCCCACAACCCACCCCATACTGCACATTTGTGCACTGAATCACAGTGCACAGGGAATGAGGAATCTCCTTAGTAGCTTCTCCATGGCATGTCCCTCTAGACCAGTCTTTTTTTTTTTTGAAACACCCCCCCCCACCACCACCACCACCACCAAATAGCAGCAAAACTTGTTGAGAAAAAAAAAGGAACTGACTGGGGACAAAAACCAAAAATAGCAGCAAAACTTGGGAGTGGGCGATTGACGGGGGGGCTGGTTTGCCTCCCCCCCGGAATTTCTTCACGTCCCCCCAGGGGGGCATGCCCCCCAGTTTGGGAACCCATGTTCAACACAGAGAAAAGACAGAGTGTTTCCCACCATATTGGGGGTAGAGCTATGCAGAAACCAGAAGTGCCATCTTCTGGGAAATCCCACAGTTTCCAAACTGATTTTTGTTCAACTTTGGAACAAAATGTCAATGTTCAGAAACTCCTTGTAACATTATATTTTCTGAAAAAAACTGGTTTGGGGTCAGTCTAACCATTTCACGTAGCTTCTTACTTGTATAATATAATTAATATAATATAATTATAATATAATATAATTAATTAATACATTTCAGAATGCAAAAGTCATTTTGACACAAAAAATCAAAATGAAACATTTCAATAAGGCTGAAAGTCAATGTTTTGACCTCATTAAGCATTTTCATTTTTTTCAGTGACATGGACACATTCCTGCAAAACATGTTTGTGGATCCTCATTTGCCAATGGAAAAGTGTTTTGTCAGAAAATTTTCAACCAGCTCTAATCCAGGGCCTTATGCAACTTCCACCATCCACCCAAGAGACATAGGCTTTCCCCGTCAGTCCTCACCCAGTCAGAATTCCCATTAACTTAAAATGGGAGTTATGATGGAGTCAAGGGGGGCCCCAAACCTCCCAGGTGATGACAGTACCCTTAACCCTTTAGTACTCTCTGATCCTTGATCCATACTGAATTCAAACTCAGGATGTTGAGGAGTTAGGTTCACCAAAGGGTATGTGACGGGTTTCACCAAGGACAGACCATAAGCATTAGGGTTGTTCCTCTTAGAAAAGGGACCATTAAGTGTGTGTGGAGGGGGGGATATGACAAAAATCTATAAAGTCATGAAGTGGTGTGACGTAGTGGGGGTACCTGGCTGGTTTCTATGCTGCTGGCTCTGGGGTAACCCCCACTGGCTGCCGTGGGTACCACGACCCAGCAAAACAGGATGAGTCACTATGCAAACCAGTGGCCAGACACCACCCATGGAGAGGAACAAAGGAAGGTGGAATGCTGCCCTGGCTGGGGGGCAGGGCTGGAAGAGTGTTGGTTAGTTGCTGTCTGGGAGCATGGAGGAGACAGCCTAGGGAAAGGGGCTGGAGTTTAGGGGCCCAGTCTCCCCCATCTCAAGGGGGCCTGAGGCATCCTAGCCCAGCTCTGTGACCAGATTACATCTGTGCTGTGCTGTATCCTGGAGAGGCAATAAACTTCCTCTATTACACCGGCTGGTGCAGTCTGTTTGTGCCATTTCGGGGTGCAGGAGGCGGGGGACCCCCAACGCGTCGTCACAAGTGGAAAAAAAGTGTTGCTCATTTTTCCCCACAGTACAAAAACCAGGCGTCACCCAACGAAATTAATAGGCAGTGGGTATAGTATAAACAAGCGAAAGTTCTTTTCCACACCACACACAACTAACCGGTGGAACTCATTGCCAGCTCAAAAGTATCACTGGGCTCAAAAAAAGAATAGGCAAGTTCACGGAGGATAGGTCCATGAATGGCTAGTAGCTAAGGTGGTAAGGATGGGCCCCCTCTGCTCCAGAGCAACCCTAAATCTCTTGCCACCAGAAGCAGTGAGTGTAAGCCAGGAGTGAATCACTCCAACAGGCCTGTACACTGTCCCCAAAATTATGGTCCTGGTCCCTACCCTGAGAGTACTGAGCTAGCTGGACCATTGGTCTAAACCAGTAGGGCAGTTCTTAGGTTTAAGTACAAGAGCAAAGGCAACAGCACTTGCCTCACCCAAAACAAAACCCTCCCCTGCCTTGTGTGGGTGGTGAAGTGGAAGAGAGAACAGACAGTTCTCTTCCCACTTGCTCCTTTATGCTCTCTCAGCAGCTTGGCAGCACACCAGCCCAACTCTCCCTGGATGCCGCAGGTGCAGTGAATGCAGCCTGTTTTGGTGCATGGCGTGGTCCTCTGGGAGATGTTCCCAGATTTCCTTTGATGACACTGTTGTTAGCAAGAGGTGGGGTGATGCACATTGCCTCTATCTTGGAGCAGCCGTTGGAAATGCTACCAGTGGCTCTGTCACCATTCCTGCCTTTCCGTTCCCAGCGCGACCCTGCTCTCAGCCGGCTTTAGGATCTTAATGTATTGCCACAACTGCTCTGCTCCCACACAGTCATAGCCAGAGGCGCTCTCATCTCCCTGGCACTAGCAGATTAATTTTTCATAGGAGGTTATGTTTCCATCCCCTTCCCTGGCTACTGATCTTTATCAAAGAATAGGACACTCCATGAAAAGGAGTCCTTAAATCTAGCAACTGATCAAGAGCCAGGGAGAACGAACTGTGCCACCTAACGAACATGTGTCATTTTATGTAAATATTGTGGACAAGGTGAAATCCCTCTTAAGGAGATCCAAGTTGCAGAAGGGAAACCAGTCAATGAAATATCTACCTCATATGTGCAAGAGTGTGGATGTGCAGATTCTAAAACACAGAGTCAAAATAAGATACACCTACTGGAGAGTACCTGGGCTCAGTTGTTTGGTGAGCTCAGAAACCAGTCTGCCAGGTAAATATGGAGCTATCCTTTCAGCACCAGCATTTTACCTGCCCGGCTGATACACTTACCTGAGAAATCACAAAGGCAATGTTTCCTACAAAGAGCATAATGGCCAGGGTCCCCTTCAGGTGAGAACTTTCACAGATGAAGATGCTGCTCCAGAGCCATTTAATTATTTTCATTCTATAAAGCCCAAAAGTATGTAATTGAAAACACGGGTGTAATTTCATTAATGGGCAATTTTTAGAGATGAGATCCATGCTACTGAGACAGAGCCATTGTGCTTTGAGATACATAGAAGGCACAGGATCAACTAGCCTATTTTATTGCGTCATCACCAATGGGCAAAAAGAAAATAGTGATCATAAAGGAGAATAAGGATTTGTTCACTAACAAAAATGATTACCTTGTAAAAAGGACAGATGGATTTTTATAATGGCCATAATTTCTATACCGTTAATTAATTAAAAGAAAATGCGGGGGCAGATGTTCAACTCGTGTAAATGGATGTAGCTCCACTTGCGATCAATGTCTCGCCAATTTATTTGCACTCGCCAATTTATTTGACGCCAACACTAACCTATTTCCACTGAAGACAATAGGGAGTCATATCGATTTACACCAGTTGAGGACTTAGCTCTGAAAGAATTACATGAAAGCACCTGGCAGCAAGAGAATTAGCCAAAATGCAGATCCTGTCTGTGTGTTTAAGTTGAGTGAAGAGTTGCAAATTCTGTGCAGGAAGCATTGGAGAAAAAGAAATAGCTGTATATTTAAAATGCAATAATTTGAACATTTGCTGCTACAACCCTGTCACGTGATAGATTCAAATAAAAAAGGGAGCGCAATTTGAGTCTTTATTTTTCCTTTTCTAAGACAGCAGTTCCT